GGAATTACCAGTATCTGTGGGCAGATGGGTTTCCTAGCCGAGTGTAACTGTGCTCCGCTACAGTCTCACCCCACTAAAAGCCGTAATTCCTGCATGCTTCTGGAGAGGCCAAGGGAACCTTTCTCACTAGCGTTATTACCATCATTAAGAAGGTTCCCCATCTAGCTAATGATACCTTTCTAATGCCAGTAATGATGCTAGCAGAAAGCTCTCATGGGCACCTATGGGAATGTTCTCACGCTGCAGATCCTGTGAGCGAAAAGCTCCCAAGGACCCCCATGGAAGCTTTCTCAGGCTGAAGGTGATGTGAATGAAAGGTCCCAAGTAGCCTTGTTTGAACCCTGCTTCAAACAAGGCTACTGAAAATAGCTTCCAGTGGCACCTCTGGAAACATCCTAGTTCTCCAACATTGGATGTTTCCATGAGTGTCAATGGATGGGTTTCAGTGCCAGGGCCTTCAAGAGGAGCACATAAATTATACGGGGTAGGAAAAGGTGAGTTGAGCTTCACTCCTGATGGTTTCATGGATGAGAGCATGGAGCTGCCAACAATAAAGAGCTTGTGGGAGAGGGAAACCCCTCCAGCATCCTCCTGAGTAAGCCACATCAGCAGGGAATGAGTGTTTGCAGATCCAGGGCCTACTGATTATAAAAGCTGCTCTGAGGAAGGAGCAGGTGTGGGGAGTTGGAGAAGAAGGAGATGGTGGATGCTGAAGTTCAACAAAAAAAGAATGTAGAAGCTGGATTACCCTTATCAGGTAATCTTTATAATCTCTCCCCCACCCTTCTTTGCTGCTTGGCTTTGATTCAGTTTACTGGTCAGGCACAGAGGAGAGCTGGTTTCTCAGGCTGGGAAGTCAGGAAGAAGACGGAGTCAGATGCCACACAAGGAAGGACCTTCAACGCCTCCCTCCCAGCTGAGGCTGGAAGGTTTATCCAGTGAGTTGGAGAGCAGGAGAACAAGCCTCAATGTGCTGTTTCCATACATCTTTAGGTAAGGCATTTTACTTTGAATGTTATTTATTTTGGGTTTGTGGTCTGGACTGCTTAAGCTCCAAAGAGCCCGTATTGGTTTTCAAAACCTTGTCCTTGAATGCTCGAGGGACTTGGAGAATCAACTTCAGCAGGTTCTCCACCCTTTTGGTGTTTGCTTTTGGTTGTAGCATGTGCTTATCAGCTCCACACCTCTCTGTCTATGATGTTCTCTCTCTCTCTCTCCACCAATGTGGTCCACCTTTGATCAGCATTTTTTATTGGTCTTGAGTCATTCAGTGCTACCACAGAAGTGGGCATTCAGAAAAACGTGTGCCTGCTACTTAAAAGGCATTTTAAGTCAACCGTGAATATGTTGGAAACATGAATATTTTTGCAATGTTTTCATTTCCAACTAATCAGAAGTGTTTTCCAACAACCCCCACCCCAGGTTGGTTGTTATTTGATTAATCATAAAGATCTAGGCTTAATTTCCAGGGGTGTAAAATTGTTGGATATTTTAATACCTAATCTTTTCAGGTAGCAATTTGCATTTTCAAGCAGAGATGTTAAAGGGCATGTTGTCTTTGTGGTATTTTCTCTGATCACTCCTATACAGCCTAACCCCAAAGACACGGTGTGTGTATGTATACAAGAGAAATATAGTAAGGGTTTATCTCCAAGCAGGTTACAACTTAACACTGATACAGGTAGATAGCAGCAGAGTTGGGGTGAGAGATGTTCTGACAATATTTGGAACCCAGGGGTTCAAGAAACAAGGGAAGAATTGCTTGAGCTATTGAGATAAGCAGGTGAAATAGAGGCCTAAGTGGGCAACTTACAAAATTTTCCCAGCATTGTGTGCCTTAGAACCATTCAAAATATATTTGGCAATATAATTCCCCCTCCCCTTTAAGTAATGGTTGCATCAGATATGGAAGGGAAGCAGGTGACTGCCATTTTGTATTTGCACACCAGCCTCATGATTAGAAACTCCTGTGTGAGTTCAACTGAACCTGGGTTAACCCACTGCTATACTTTTATTTTATAAGCCCAATCCAGATGTGATCCAGGGTGTGGGAGCTTCCCCCTAAACAGGAGCCTACTAAAAGGCTGATTTTCAATGAGCTTGAGAGAAGGGTGCAAACGTGTGCACTTGGGTGAGTGTGCCTCCAGGAGATACTATCAGAGGCACCAAGGATACCCTCTTAAATGGGACAGTAGCCATTGTGGAATAAAACTTATCAAATTGCAGCCCAAAATCTATTTCCAACTGTTTGGTTGCTGTGGTTTACATAGAGCTCTCATCCAGATTATGAGATGGTAACTATGCATGAAATTGCCTGACTGTATGCTGAAGGTATTAGTGAGAGGTGTTCTAAGTAAAGGCTCAATAGAAGATACCTACAGAAGTCTTGAAGGTCAAGGACCATTGATCTTGGACCATGTCCAACTTGACTTGATCTGGCTCAGCATCTTTGGTGCTGGAAGATGGGACCATGCCATTTCCCATCTGAGTGGATGGGGCAAGGATAGTGGCCCCAAGGAAAGGGGAGAAGTAAGGAAAGTTCTCCAAAAAGTCCATCCCAAAGTTTTTAACGCCAGTCCCAAAATAGTCCAAGGCTCCAGGCTAGAGTTTGTCCTGCCTTAGGCATGAAAGCCGGCTGGGTGACCTTGAGCTGGTCCTTCTCCTTCAACCCAACTCGCTTCACAGGGTGGTGGTTGTGGGGAAAATAGGAGGAGGAAGGACTATGAGATATGTTCGCTGCCTTCAGTTATTTATAAAAACAAAGGGGATAAAAAAATCTAAAAAACAAAACAGCTGCTCTTACCCACTTGCTCAGAGAACAGGAATCTTCTCTGTTGCTAAAGCTCCAGCTGGTTGGTACGAAGGAGGCATTATTTAAGGATCTGTGTCCTTGGCTGTTTGGGATTTACCATTAATAGATTCTGGTAGGAAATGGCCTGGTGTCATTCTGTGCATTAGCTTGGATGAATCCAAGTGCTGCATTTCAAGGTTTAAAAAACAATCTGGCAAAAGAGTTGGCAAGAAACTCCCCATCATTTGTTCTATCTCGACAGTCTGGATCACAAACCTAGTTTCATTCCCTAACCGTTCCTTTCTGGTCTCAACGTCAAATGATTCTAGGTTAGAATCATTAAAATATTGCTCTTCTTAGAGAATTCTTTCCCCCCCCCCCCAGGGCTCTAACTAGGGGCGGGAGTGATTTCCAAGGCACTATTTAAATTAATTAGGTCAAAATTTTGCTGGGGAGGAAGAAAAAGTTCTCTGTGCTAACTTTTCCCTCTGTAAAGTGCTTTCCTGATTTCCGGGGCAATTACAAAGACTTGGTTCATTAGCAGTTTTCTCCTACGAATTTGGTTTCTTACTCTTTCAAAACTAAGATAATGCAGCCTGAACTACTTGCTCACTCTGGCTGACCCAAGGACATGAGAATTTGCAAAGCCCATCCTCCAGGCCATACTGCAATAACTGTAGACCTGATGAATCTTTTTATTGGGGGCAAAAGGCCAAGGGGACTGGAAAAGTTGTAGAAAGAACAGAAATGAAAAATGTTTCAGCCTTTCCTTCCCTTCTCTCCCCCCGCTTTCCCAAAAAGGAACACAAACAAAGTACAGATGGGCATGAATAAAGGATGCAAAGGAAGAGATTGGTGTGCTATATATAGCAATGCAGATGTTTCAGGTGTTGTGAACGCCTTCAAAAAAAGCAGATCAGTGCAACTAATTCTGAAAGTTGCAATTGATATCATTTTTGATTAGCTCCAAGTGTCTATAATTTAGCTACTGAGTAAAATTAACCTGACGTCTTTGGCAAGACAGGGCGACAGTGAGAATTTTAACGTGGGTCTAAAATTAAACTTCAGCTTGGTTATTTAATGTATCTATTAGGCTTCAACCTCATGAAGAAAGTCAGGCTTGTACACCCTGAACAACAGGCAACTTCAACCTTGGTTGCCTTCAAAGTTCACATCTGGAATTTAGCAAGCGAGTTCTTTGATCCCCCAACCTTTAAATTGGAGGACTGCGTGAGTCAAAGTACTACCTTAGTGAAAAGAATATTAAAATAAGCATTCTTAGGGAAATTGAAGGTGGAATAAAAGTATATAATCCATGTCATGCCATTCTTAAAGCTAAATGGGGCACAGCTGTCCAGCTGTTCTCTGCATGATCCTAGAAATTAAGGGATGCAGATACCCCACGGACTACTCAAAAAGCTGAAAATCACACTTCAAAAAAAAAAGTTGGACTTGCAAAGCTAGAGGAAACATCTTTTCAACCTTTAAAGGAATAAAATAGAGACTTTCAGAAGAAGTTCAAGGCGGTTAGTAGTTTCAGGCAAAAACACACAACTTTTTAAAATAAAGAGATCCATTTATTGAACTGGAAACTTGGATCATAACATCTTGTTTCTGAAATCAATTTCCTGACTCACACTTTACTACGTACAACTCAGCTTGAACATAAACCATTCTTCCATACACCACGCACATTTTAACATTTAAGTGGGGGGGGGGAAACATTAGCTGTGTACCGTATAAAATGAACCAATGAAAAATGCTGGAATCAAGAGGTCCAGATGTAAGTAAAGCCAGAAAGGTGAGTGGTTTTATGGGGAGATCATTTATTCCCTGCATGAGCCAAACCTTGGTTCATGGGCTGAATTTTGAATGCCTACTCTGGATTTATTCAGCTGGAAGCTCTGATTTTTCATTTTTCCAGGAACTGCTAATCGTGCTAGTTCTTAGTGGTCTCTGGAGAGAATCCACCTCTTTGATGAACAAGTTGGTTCTTCTGATCAAGTGGCTCTAATGCTTACGGAAGCACCAATGTTCTTATACTTCTGCGCTCAGTGGCTCAAAGCCTCAAACAGATGGGAGACATACAAGCTGACCTATGTCCCTGCAGCTCCCATTTAAATCAGCCCCCACCAGTGAGGCCAGTGATAAGATGATGGGACCTGTGGTCCAACAGCATTTGTTCCCAAGCCAAGTGTAAATCCCTTGATCAAGTCTACTAATATATTTCAGGAACCTGGCAAATTGCAGAACCATGGACCAATCTAGCTTGAAGGACACCCGCAAATCTGGTGGAATCACTTGTCCTTTTCCTCTCGTAGAAATTACTACCTGCCATTGTGATCAAAAGAAAATCAAAAAAAGAAAAATTAAGGTCTTATATGTTTCCTTGGCAGCCTGAAAAACCTAACCAACATCCAGTTATCACTTTCATTATTCTGTTTAGTATTTCCACTGGCACTAATTGACTGGAGGGGTCTAAGAATATAAGACATTTTCTTGCCTATGTCAGTTTAATCTAGCTCTATTCCTAAGGGCTGTTTCACTGCTACTTTTCCCTAATACAAAAGAAGTTATCAGTCTGGGATGGAGAAGACAGGATAGCAGAAAAGAAATATTCTGGAATGGAAGTTACCTTGTGGTAAGAAACACCAAAGTCGAGCAGGACTAAGATCTATCTAGTTTGGTCACCAGTTTTCCATCAGCCAGCAGGTGCACCCAACCAAGACATACACAAATACTTCTTTTAAATCCTACCTTAAAAGAAGTTCAGGGCAATCTATAAAACAGTAATTATACAAGTATGATGCCATAGTAAACAAGAAATGTATCACAGAGAACAGTCTACAGGAATTTTTTTAGATGCAAGAATGCTTGAAAGGAATGTTACAGAACAAAACATGGCAATTTTCTTTATGGGAATCACACTTTTAATTACCTTTTTTTTTTTTTTTTAAACAGCTTTGCAAGGCCATGACGACAATGTTGAGGTGGTCACCCGAGATGGACCTGAAATTTTTGGACCTTCTGCCCTTGCTTGGTTCCTGTTGCTTTGAACAAGGTAAAGAAGGGTCCTGACATTGCTCCCAAATTTCAACCATGCTTTCTGGGAAGTCGGGGGGGGGGCTCTGTGCCTTTTCAAAGGGCAACATCTAAAACCCAACTGGAATCTGCTCTCCAGTTTGTCACCCTTATGCCTATTTTTCCAGTCCATGGGAACCCAGATGGGGAAACTTTGCAAAGTTGCACGTTGTCCAAGGAGGAGACAGGGAGCAGCAATGTGAATGCAGTTGCTGGGCCCAGAAAGGGGGAGCAGAATATCCTATGCAGTTTAGTGGAGGAAAAGCCCTATCCACAATCCAGTGAAATGAGCAGGGAGGCTTCCACCCGAAAGGGATACCAAAACTAAACCTCTCCTTTCCCCCCTATTCAACAGGTGACCTTCCCAAATGTGGTCAGGAGGAAACCAACCAGCCAATTCTTGCGATTTAAATGGCTCTACCCCTTCATCCAGGCTTCAAAGGAAAGATGCAAGATTCTGCCATTACAGGGAGGGGGGATGGTTACAGCAACTTGCCATCGCTGTGCAAAGGAACATCTCGATTTCCTTTTCATTTCACGGGGTTGTCTCAAGTGGCTGGGACGACCTAGATTAGAACCCTGCAAGCCGCTTCAGGTAGTTTTCAGCCAAGGCCTTCAAGCAAATAATCACAATGCTTTTATTCTATGGGTGTGTATGCATGCACACACGCCCTTCCAGGTTTCCCACATTCCAAAAACTCAGCCTGCGTAAATGAACCCGGCCTTTGCTGCTGTCTCGGTGTGCCGATGGCGGATCCGGCTTCTGCACTGTGATTCCTGCCATTAACACACAGAGGACCGCCATGTTTAACAGAACGAAACCAACCTGCTGTTGCTTATCCCTGCACTGAGGTTGGCTCTGCCAGAGAAAGCTGGAGAGAAAATGGTACCCCGTTTACCAGCCCTGGGGCTGGCGGAGACAGATGTCAGAGTCCGGCCATCCTGAAGGCCTCGGGTTGAAAAACGCTGGAGCAACAGGGTGGAAATGTAAGAAATGTTAAGGCCTTGGATGTAAAGAAGTAGTCGAAAGCCTCAGCTCAGCAAAGGAAAAATGGTCTTTATTGTGGGAACTGGAGCCTTCACTAAACCCTTTTCTTGATGAGGCTGGATGGGACGATTTTGTTTTCAGATGGCTGAACCTAGGAAATAAAACAGGGCTTGCGTTAATGGGCGCTACCACTGCTACAGCGGGGGCTCTGCTCTCCCCTGCTGTGGGCTTTCTGACGGCAAGAGAGGGGATCTTGCAACAGGATGTGCCACCGTGTCCAAAAACGCCCTGCGCCCAGAAATCTAGCATATCCAGGAGAAGACTAACCTGCCTATAAACAGCCACGTACCCCAAACAGTGAGTTCCTGGACAGAAATGATAACCAAGCACTCTGTCTGTGCCAAAAAGCAGCAAACATATGAAAAAAAGCATTGCTTTTTCCTGATAGGCTAGATTTCTAAGCTTCCATTTCTCTGGTAGGCTGGTTTTTGAGCCAACCGACACCTAGAAGTCTACTCCAAGGGACTCTGTAATATCTTCCTCTTCCCACCCATCCTGGTTTCTGTTCTTGCCAGAGTTGGTGATTTGATTTATGGGGTGAAAGACCCTCCCTGTGTCGATGCTGAATGACTGCCCAAGAAGGAGGGGGAAAGGACATGCCTGGCACGCACAGCTGCAAGGCTGAGCCAGTTTACAACCATCACTGTTATGGTGGACCGGAATACTGAGGCCCAATGATTTGGTTGAACAAGGAGGATCTGAAGCATCTTCCCCAACATGGGAGTTGCCCAACAGTTCCCCAGATCCAAAGTACCCTTTCTGGCAAGATGGATGATTAGCAAGGCCATGTGGCTTGTAGAAAATGAACCGGAAGGAAGGAAGAGTCAAAAGGGGGGGGGGGGGTTATTTCTACTTACTTCAAGATTTCCTCTGGCTTTTTTTAAAACATCATGCGTTAATGCCACTGCAAAGGGAAAGAGAGTTGGTTGGGCTTGAGAGCACACATTTCCCCAAGGCTTCTAGCAGCAGTAATGGCCTTTGGTAAGACAAACATTGCTTGGAAGTTAAGCCTCCCAAAAATGCTCCAGAGGCACCAACAGGCGTGCCCTAAATGCACAACTGGACACATCTCAAGAGGTGTTTGGACTCTCTGTCCCTTATGCCCAGCCTGGAGGGCCCCCCCACCATGATTGGGGATGATGGGATAGGATCCAGGCTACCTGGAGGATGCTAGATTGGGGAAGGCTGCTCTAAATCACGTTGCTTTATTTCCCCTCTCTTCAAACTGCTAAATGGGTATGCAAAACCAAGAACACGAAGCACCTTTTAGGGGAAAGCCCCAGCCTAGGGACAAAACTGAGCAGGGACATCAGGGCTGACTCATTTGTTAAGAAGTTCTTGGCAGCAGCACCGGGGAGGGGCTGAGCTATAAGTGATGATGATCCTCTTGCAAAGGATGCGCGTTAACCTTTTAAAAATGTATATTTGTGAGGGTTTTGACTGCAATAATCCCACGCCAAGGTGGCACGAACAACGTGTGACATTTCTGTGGGCCTATTTGCTGTCCCTTTTGGGGAGGAAGCAAATCTGGCATTTTCAAGGCTAGATTAATTACTCCTTCGCAGGTACCAGGACCGGCCCCACCAGTCGGTTCCCAGCCACCCAGCCCCTTCGTCAAAAAGTAGCAAACGACAGAAATGTCGTGGTGTCTTCCTCAGAGCTGTGAACCATGGGTTCTTTTGAGAAAGGGGGCTCTTCTGCACATACAGGCTTGCACACAGACACACCTATATGCACACCTTGATGCTCCCACCATATCGGAACATGCACATGGTATATTTAAATATGCATGCCCATTTACTTACCAAGTTACATATGCACCTATCTACCTCTACCTGTAAGGGCGCACACATGCCCGTTTTATCTTCCTCCCATCAAATACTAATGAAAACAGAGGTTCAGCTTCATCAATAACTCAAGACAACTGATTGGAGGGGGGGGGAAGATTTTGTCTTGGGCAATTCTGGAAGTGGCCCTCTGTGCTGCAGCTGGGGGGCTTTCTTAGGGCATGTGGTTAAAAAGAGGAAGGGGTTGGATTGGATGGGGGTCTAAGCTTTTGCTCTCTAGGAGGCACAGCAAAGTGGGTGCATCAGTTTGTGCCAGTTCAAGAGGTCTCTGGGCCCCCTGGGCACCCAAGCTAAGGACCTGAACCCACAGATCCCCCAAACTTGTTTCTAAGCTGCGGGCTGCACTTAGCCCAGGAATAATTTGCCAAGGACTGCGCTTGAAGAAGCAGATAGGGCCAGGAGAGAAACTAAATTAGGATTTAATTTGCAATTAAGTTAAATGCCATTAATACTGTACTGATGAATGCTACCCCATGTAATTAACAGTCTCCCCTTTGCTCCCTACAGGCCTGACCCTTAGCTGTGTCAGTTAGGTAAAGTAGCTGCATTCAGGCCACATGCAGATTTCATTATGGTTAACCTTGGGTTTAGTGTGTTAGGTGACATTGACCCATTTGGCGTGTTTATTATTCAGTGCATTGTGCTACTCCAGAAAAGGGTTAATTCCAAAAGCAGGTTAGGTGAGATTGCCTGTGTAACCACAGCCTAAAAGCTACAGTTTGATAACAGCTGGGAGGGAGGCGAGCTTTAGGATCTGTGCTCAAGGTGGTTGAGGCTTCACAGGGATCTTGGGAACTCTCCCAACTTTGAGTCAAGCATTGCAAAAGTAAAGCTTGAGTCAATGATGCAGCAAGTCAATTTCCCAGCTGAGCTCTAGCTTGCCCCTTGGAGCTGCAAATGAAGCTGGGGTTCAAGAAGAAAAGAAGAGGGACAGCACTGTGTCAGACCAGGGGCTGGCCTAGTTCAGCCTTCTGTCCCCACAGAGGCCAATGAGAAGCTCTCAGGGAAGCCCAAAAGCAGGACAAAGAGCAGGGAAGAACGGAGGACCCCCACTCACACTGATCTATGATGACCCTCTCCATGTTTTCTTTTAGTCGGTTGGTGGAGTACAAGCACTTGGCCGTGCTGTGCAGCTGCTGCTCCTGTTCGGCCAGTTTCCGACGGAGCCTGCAGAGCTCAGACTTCAGGCTTTCGTCCTGTAATGCAAGGAGGAGGATTAGCTTTTCTTCTCCAAATGACTGGTGCGAGCTTCCTGATGCTGGGCCAGAGGCACCTATGGCTACAGAGGAGACGATGCCCCTCTTCTTGCGGGCCTGGAACGCTCCCCAGCTTCTTTCTTCCCATTCTCTGCACCCCGGGGCATCAACCTGCATTAAAATGTCTAAGCAACTGTGTTCTACCCACCTCCCATTTGGGTAGCCAAAGGAGGGGGATAAAAAGTTAAGAGCAGCCCTCAGTCTGGTTCAGCCAAGAGACGATTCACTCCATCGTTGAGTGTCCTGGCTCGTTCAAGAAATTCCTAAGCGTGTTAAAAAGGCACCTGCCTGCTTCTACTATTCCTCCTCAGCAGCTATTTACAACATGCTGTCTTCTATTCTGACAGTTGCACACAACCCATATAAAACCCATATCCATCCAGGCATGCCTCCAGATTGAGTCTCATGCAATTTTAAGTGTTCACAGGGACAGCCGATTTTCTGTGTTTTATATCTTCCCTGTCCTGTTTTGATGTTGTATTTTATTGTTTCCTGTAAACTACCTGGATTTCTTCAGTTCCTGGGTTGATTAGAAGTTTAATAACAATTTATCACCGAGAAGCCCTAGAACTGGAGGATTTTGAAGATCTTGGGACCAACCTCTGAAGTACAGCATCCCTGATGGCTGGCTGCCAAGTGTCTGCTTTTAACCCACTTCCATAGGGCCACTGGTTTACCCATGAGGTTCTGCCCAGCACTCTGCTGAAGCAGTAACAGCTGATGGAAACAGTCGAAGACTTTTCAACCAGCCATTGCTCCATTTGATGACAGCAAGTCCTGTAACTACAGGTTGAGTCAAGAAATGTTTCCTTCTATTGGCCCAACATTACTTGGGGTTATCTTCAAGGTAAGACCCTGGGTTGCAATACTGCGAGAAGGAGAAATAAGCTTTCTTGGTGTGCCTCAATCATGTTGCCCTCTCTCCAGCTTTTTGGGTGCTTGAGAAGTTTCCCTTGTTTCTATGCACGCAGATCCTAACCTGAAGCGAGTAAGCAGCAGCGTGGACCACTTTCATCGGCAGGGAGACTCTCCACAGGAGGTTCAACAGGCGGGTGGCTTCCTCCAAGTTCTGCTGGACTGCCCTGAAGGTGGCATACGAGCTGCTCAGAGGAGCCTGCTATAGAATTTGGAGAAAGAAAAGAGAAAGATTTTATTCTTTAAAAAAAAAAAAACTTGAATTAATGGCACAAATCCAATTTGCTACAATTTTCAGTTTTGGGCTGATGAGCGTGAATATTGTGAGTCAGGCAAAACTAATTTATTCAGTTAAAAAGGCAGCAAAATTATGCATTATTCAAGAATGGGGGGGGTGTTGGAGGAGCAGGGATGCAGCCTAATCAATAACGATAATTAATAATGGGTTACATTTACTAGGCTCACTGTGTCTCTTGGAAAAATACTCTCCCTCCCCTCCCTTCCCTGTTTTGCATTACACATCTTGCCATTTGAAAGTCAAATGACTCCTGACATCAATTTTGGCAATATAGATGTTTCTCCCTTAGCAGGCCCTTTAAACTGTTCCATTTAATGGTGAGCTAACTATTGGGGGCCAAGGCAAAATGTTTTCCTCAGCAGACACACGAGGAAGCAAATAAAAGGAACTGCCAGAGTGAAAAATAGGCAGGGACTCAACAAGAGAGAACATAAGCTGGAGAGACTGAGCGTGGCCAAAGTTTGGGGTGGGGAGTTTCCTCTTACAGTCACTAGAAATGTTTTGGTTTTGATGTGAGTCACTTTCCAAAAGGATTTGATTTGATCCGAGTCACCTATGGGGAAGCTTAAGCCCAAATGAAATGATGAACTTTATAGCAGGCATGCAGCTTCTATTTTTTAATCTCACCTTTCCCACCTCAGTTCTGGACATCCTTTTACTGGGAGAAGCCATGGAATAACCCTGGACCATTCTATAAGGGAAGGTAGGGTTCTCTTGGGTTGTAGGACCCTCCCAATGGCCAAGGAGAGCCTGCAAGATTCTGAATGGTAGGACCCAGTCCACTCAGAGAAGGTGGAGGATGGTTCTTGATTCCTTCCTGAAAAATACTCAGCTCCAAATAAGAACTGATACTGCCTTGCTGGAAGTGCTCCCTGGCTTGGGGAATCAGATGTCTGGAGAACCACCTCCTAGGAAGAACATCAGGGCAAGGATGATACTAGTCTGGTTTCACTGATCTGCTGGAAAAAGAATAGCTTATTTTGCCCTTCCCTGCTATGGAAAAAAACTTATGGAGCGCATCACCTTACACTCTGTCCTCCTAGGGATCTGTGGTTCCATAATAATCCCATCCTTTCAAGTTCTCAGCTATGCACTTACTGTCACTGCAGAATCCAGAGCTTCTGCCTCTTTCAGAGGAAGCTCTAGTTCAGATAACCGCTTCCGCCCTTCTGCGATCTGCTTCTGTAGACAGTTGTAATCTTCAATCAAGCCAAGAATGTGCTGGCCGTTTTTGTCTGCCCACACGCAATGACTGGGGATGGGGCAAATCTCTTGGGTCTTCTTGGCCAACAAGTTGCAATGGGAGGAACTGTCCAAGGTGCTGAAACTGAACTCTGTAGCAGAGGTATGGGGGAGGATGTTGATTAGCTACCATCCATCTGAGCAACATCTACAGGTAACAATAGCCAGCCTTCTCTCATGGGGGAGTGGACACTTTTCCAGCTCTTAGATGTTTAACCCCTGCCCCATCCATGTTCACTCTTTCTCCTCTGCCAGTTGAAAGCCATCCCCTCTGCTCCTAGAGATCTGGGATGAGGTGGCCTTCTAGCAACCCCCTTTTTCTTCTTACCTACTTCTTTCCTTGAATTCCAACCTGGACACATCCATTGCAGAGCTTGGAGGCTCACCTAGTGCTCTCCCTATTTCCTGATCTCCTGGAAATTAACTGTACAAGCAAAGCATTTCAATCTGGTAGCGTTCAATGAAGCCACTGATAGGCAAACTTTCCTAGCTGGTGGGTGTGACTGGAGCTTCAAGAGCTTGTGAGGGCCCTTGCAAAATGATTGCTGTAGCTGAGCATTCCCTGCCAGGTCAAATCACAACACCTATTTACCAGAATACAAGCTGGTAAAGGTGTTTCCTAACCAATACCTTCCTCTATTCACCCCTGATGTTGTTCTCTCTCATTTTAACTTTTTGGGGTAGAAAGGAAAATAGGTGGGCCACTTCCAAACACAGACCCTAAAAACTATCTTTAGTTTTTAAAGATGCTAGGGGACTGGTGTATTTTTGTTTATAAATATGAAATTGGAGGGTGATCCTTTGCTTTATGTTACACCATCTTTCCTTCCCTCTAAATTAAAGGAAATAGAAAGGACCTGTGAAGTGGCAACAAACTTCTGTATTTCTATTGCATCTCAAGGATGCTGCTATTGCACTGGAGAATTTAAACTCTACTAAATTTAAATTCCTACTAAAGGAGGAGAGAAGGTGAGGGTCACTGTTGGATGCAATCCCTGATGTCTTAATTTGTCTGAAAACACATAATTATCCTCCACCAAGATTGAATAACTTGGCTTCGCTTTTTTTTTTTTTTTTTGCATTCTTTGGGGAAAAACATGCTTCAATCTCTTCTATTGAAATCTCTGAGTCAATGTCATGTAGCAGTTAAACTCAGTTGGACTTGCGGAGGAAGGACTAGGATTGGATTCCATCACCAATCATGGAGGCTACCTGGAGACACAAGGCAGTCACTGTCACTCAAGTATTTTTCATATTCTGGAAATATAATTGGAGCAGAGTGTGCTGGATATGCTGCCTTGGGTGTCTGGAGGAAAGGTGGCATATAAATCTAATTTTATTAACAATAGTTCTATACCAGCTTTGGCTGGGCAATGTCCAGTTGCATGAAATATTTTTTTTTTTGATAAACCAGCCTTATTAACTCTGCAGTGGAATCAGTTAATTAAATGGAGATCAATTCCAAAGATCCTGGACTGATCAACAGAGCTTTCCCAATTGGCCACCAACTCCTCTGGTGATTAAACCCGATGACAAGGAAGATTCACCCTCTGTTATATTTGTTGTCCTGTCACTTTGTGGATTTGAAGCCTTCCCCGCCCAAGAGGGAGACCCAAGTCTCCTACTTTTTGTACACAAATATGTTTGGGGGAAAAAACCCTGAAAAACCCAAACACCAAGGATGCTTGGGGTCATCTTGATTTGCAATATTAGCCGGAAAAAAAGCCCTATCCCAAAATGATGACTTTTCAAACACACAAAAGCATGCATTCTATAACACACGCACCGAAAACCTGATCTCCAGTGCTAGAAATCTCTCATTTCTTCTTGCCAAGGATACCTAACTTGGATTATAAAATCCAACTCTGCAGTAAACCCAACATTTCATGGCTCCAAGACGTGCAAGCCTATTTTTGCATTGTTTTAAGATGGCTTGATTCATCTAGGTATTTTTTTCAGCTCTGCTCAACAAGGTCAAAAGTACGAGATGAAGCCAGCCATCAGAGTGGGAATATTTATTCTGTTAGTCTTCTGAGCTATGGGGCATGTGTTATGTTCAATGGCACTAGAGATTCCAATGCAGATTTGCATGGCATACAGATACTTCTAATTTCCCTTAAGCTTTAAATGGTTAGAACCCTTGACTTGACAGTAATGGGGGGGGGGAAGAGTAGGGAGAATGTCCCTCTAGGGCACAAAATATATTCTTCTGATTTATTCACAGATCAAAGTATATATTGATCATTCCCAAGTAACACACAGCCAACACTCTTGCCTTAAACAAGCTATTCAGGTGAGGAAAAGTTTGCAAAACCTGAATTCAACAGTTTTGCCTTTACTACTGTAAGGCTGCAAGCTGAACTTTGCTGCCACCATCTTTGCTTAAGGAGGCAACGGTTGGGGGTTTCTGAAATATCTCCCCCCAAAATTCCAATCCAAGGAGCAGCTCTCAAAATGCTGAATTACCCAGAGTGAATGCTATGTGAACTCAAGCCCACTAAAGCTTGCCCCCCAAAATCATCTAACCACCTTACATGTACCTGTTGAATTCTCCCAAAATCAAAAAAGGCTTGGTCCACATTTGGGGGAAACAAAGAACTGCCTGGTGGTGGGGAGGCAGCTCCTCCACCAACTTCCTTGAGCAAAATAGAGCTTAGAGAAGATGGGAAAAGGGAAAAGCAGATGCAAGAAGATTGCAGGAGGACAGGATGATTTCCCACCTATTGATCAAAGGCTTTACCGGGCTCCTATGGAACTAGAATGGCACGTGAAAGACAACATAAACCCCCTTTCACAATTTGCCCCAGCCCAAATAATAGCAGGCTGCATGAGCCTCACCCACCCCAAATCTCCCATGATCTCTAGGTTGGATTTATGGGCAACACCTCCTGCCCAGCCCATGGAAGTGGTCATTTCAGTGGTGGCTTTGAGTTGAGAGGACCTTTTCAAACCAAAACAGGCATGGCTGAGTGCTTCTCCCTACCGTTGATCCCACTCCGGGGTTGTGACTCGTGACTGAAAAGGTAGCTGATCTGCACAGCTGGGCCCAAGCAGCTCTTCTCCACCTTTCCTTTGTGCAGCTGCTGTTCTACTTTTTCGTGCAACATCTGGTTTGCCTTGATGCTTTGCTCAAGCTGCATTCTCAAGCTCTGTATTTCGGTCAATAGTTCACCCAAGTCAAGGGGCAGATTCTGATCTTTCCAACATTCATCTGCTCCATTCTGGCTGCGTTCTAAAGGGTTTTAGGGGGGGGGGGTGTTTTAAAGGAAAAAAAAAATCATTACTATTATAAACAATTAAAATAGCTGTTATTAGAATGCTGAATAAGCCAGATTCTCAGCCAACTCCAAAGAGCAGGTAGATAATGATTTTACAGGTGAAAAAAAATGCATGCACACGAACACACACACGTATGCACGCATAACCCTCTCTAGTAATTGCTTCTACTCTCCAAAGATTTAATAAGAGCCAAAAATTATTTTTCACTTCGACTATAAAAGCTAATGTTGCATACCCAAAGCAAAATTACGTATTATTAAAGGACTGGAGTGAAGATGATTTATAAATTCTGAAGGACGTTTGAAAGTGCGGTGAGAAGAGAAGAGAATCCAGCACGAGATTAAATAACTATAAGAAAATGTCCTAATTAGGAGACACTGAAAGGGAGAGTGTGAACAGAGGCTAAAAATAAAGGCAGCGTCTTTCTTGAAACTTGGACATCCTCTTATTACCGAAATCAAGGAACTCAAATTCTCTGAACCTGGCAAAGAGCAAATTTTATGGCAGAGGCCACCAACATGTCCTCCAATGCCCTACCCCATTAAAAAAAAAAAAAAAAAATCTTGCAAATTTTCAAAAGCTAGCAAAATCTCACTAGAGATTGCAGAATGTGGAGACACACACAGTGTATTAAAATTTGCAGAGCTCAGAGTAATGGTTTCACATGAGGCTGAGTCATCCCTTTTCTCCTCCTACAAAAACTCTGGAGAGTTCTCTAATAGAGCAGGCTTCATTCTGGATGGGGAAAATCCAGATCCTGTCCCCTGCTCCTCCATGAAATTCACCAAGGGGGGGGGGGAGGAGGAGATATCTCTACTTCTGCTTGCTATCTGGCCCTCCATAATGATGTGGCTATTCCCCAGGAGTTCTTGCCCTCCTCAATGGGCTCTTCTAAATTGATAGGCGTGCCCACGTTTGATATGAACCAGATATGAACCAAAGGATGGAGAAAGAGGGCTCATTAAAACACCAGCATGCCAGAAATTGTCTGCCCCATTTCGGATTTGTAGCTGTTCCTTTACCTTTTTCATTCCGGAGCACTTCGTCTAACTTTTCATACACCTTGAGTTCCACTCTCAATGAGCACAACAATTTGTCACTCTCTGACAGCTGATGCTGTGTGGTGGCCAGCTCCATCTGCAACCTGTAACATCCCAAGCGAACTGGTCAGCGTGGTTTTAGAATTCAGCATCGCAAGTGGTGACCTACCTGTGCTAACGCCATCCTTGTTATCATGAGAAGTCCCATTCAAACCTTTCCCCCTGAAATCTGATTTTCTATAAAAGAAATGGATGCTGGGGTTATTCATCTAGTATGGCCTTCAAGGCTGTACAGGTCCACAGCACCAGTTGCATCCTAACTCTAGTTCTCATGCTTGAGGAGTGCAAAATTCAACCCCATGGGGAAAGAATCTGTGGCTGTCCAAATGCCCTCTCAGCAGAGCCAGTGAGGAAGGACATTGGGAGTTTTTGCTCAGTAACACCTGGGACATGACAGGTTCACCCTCCCCATTCTGCAACAGAGGTGTTCTCTAGGGTTTTTCTATCATGGATTTAAGCTATGCCAGAATGACCTGTTCAGTTCGTTCCTGACGTTGTAAATTTCGTGGGTCAGACCCTCATTTTCAAGCTCGCGTTTTCCCACTTGTTCCTGCAGCTTCTCGTTTTCCTTCTTGAGATGCTCATAGTCCTTCTGAAGGCACTCAATTGCCAGGTGCTTCTGAGACAGGGATTCTCGCAGTGTTTCATTCTCCTTTTGCTTCTCTGCAAGAGGAATCCCAAGTCCTTCTGAATATCCATACTTCACTTTAGTCATTTTCCTTTATTCCTTGCATCATTTCCATACCACCCTACCTCTCATGATTCAAGGTAATAAAAACAAAACGTGGACGTACACATGATGAAATAGCAAGTGCAATCCAGGGTGGCCATCTATCCTGAAAGCCCATTGGACAGGATGGTCCTCACTGCTTTGCAAAATGCAAGCAAGGTGGGACTACCCTTACTGTAGGACAAGGTATTCCATAACTAGAAAGCAATACTGCTCTAGGAATTGAAGATTTGTTTTCAAAGGTGAGACACAGAAATACCCTCCCTCCAGCAAACAAACAGGGAGCTCATCTGTTCTTTAGGACTTTAGCATTTCCAATTGGGGGGGGGGGGTGCTGCTAAAAGACATCTTGCATAAAAGAATAAAAATGTAACCCCTGCAATAGCTCGGAGGGTTATGAGCAGAAAAGAGTTTCTTGCCCTCCTAGAACTCAGATTTAGATGGATCAAGCCATTTCCAGCCTCAGGTGTGCAACAGTTGACCGTCAGTCTGCCCTGCTTTACTGACACAAAATGTTGCAAAACATGAAAATCACCGTGAAATCGAATGCATTTTCCTCTGAACCATGCATCTTTTTGCCAATCATTTCTTTGGTCAGATCCCAAATGGGCACTGATAAAGCATTCTCTCTGGAAGACAATGTCAAACATGGAACAAAAATATTGCCTTTATGGCTTTCCAACTTAAAAAAAAAAAAGATCCCTTCCCCTTCAACAGCACGCGCCTTATCTCACCTTGGGATCCTTTCGCCAGCATTGCATTCAAAACCTGGTTCTGCTTCCTCAGGAAATGAATTTCAGAAGTCAGGGAATTATGTTGCTCTGAGCCACGGATACAAACATTTGCTACGTCTATAAATATATACATAAAAATGATTTAGGAGCCATCTCTGGGTCAGTAAAGATTAAACTTTCCCAGACAAGAACAATTTAAACAAAGCAGGGAGGGAAAAATATAGACCTGCTACAAAAGCTATTTATCCCCTATATTTTCTGAAGGTTATCATATCATACGGCGCAAAAGGGAATCCAGCTGGACTCTGAGCAAGTCATCCCAAACTCACTTTGGATCCCGGGTTAATACCAGCCAAACTGCATATTATCCTTTGCTGATAATGGCAGCGGGGGACGACGCTGCTACGCTGATCCTGGGCTGCCAACCAGAGATTGAGAACAGACAGCTTTGCCGTCATTTTCAACACCCCAGTAAATTACCGTTTTTTAAAAGATAAAAAAAGGAGGAGGTGGTCATTTTCACACTTGGTGGCTGGCACTGGGTCTCTCTGCTGACACAGGATTACAGCTGCCTCAACAGAAGCCGGGCAAGCAGCTTGGCAGGGGAGAGGGCCCTGGGATGGGGCTGTGCTGGGGCCACTTCTGCAAGATGACAATGGCAATTTCAGCAGAGCCAAACCAAAATGGACTATTTTAGATGGGGGAGCTGGTCCAGCCAAAACACAAACCCAGGAAAGTTGGCTCCATGACGGGCCATCTGCATTGCAGTTCAGTATAGAGATCCAAAAAATCTCTCTCCTCTTTCAGGATGCAACCTTCCTTGATGTGGGAACTCAAGAGGGACAGAAGCCAAGCCTCAAGTGGTCCTCCCTTCTCCATTGCAGGGGAACTAAACCAACCAAAACCGAATGATGGGGACAGGGAGAAAGAGAACTTGAGCCCCATATGTTTCTGGGATCTCGATCCAATTCTCACCCACGTTCTGCTGTTTAGCTTACAAAGCGTCACAGGAGCCTCAATCGTGCAAAAATGGCCATACTGTCCAGAACAGCAAAGAACTGGGAAGAGCCCCCACCTGGCACTAGCAAACGTTCTGTCCTTTTTCCTCTCCGTTTTCTATTTCCATCAGGAGGTGATACATTTGCTAAAGTAGCAGAGAGATGGATCTGGGCATGTGGAGCTAATGTCTATTTCCTGCATTAATGGGCATCCTTTCACCAAAACCTGATGAAGCCTTAATGGTGCTGGAGGTACTGAAGATGTGATCCTTTGGTGAGAACAGCCTTCCTTTCCAGCTGCAGGGAACTACTTTACAACCCAAATCAGGGATGCTGATATATGCTTTACCATCATGACACGAGGGATGGGTCACCATATCTACATAGTATCAGCCTGAACCCCCCCCCCCAAATGGAGGGCCAATTGATTCAAGAAAGCTGCAACTCAAAATGAGCAGGATTAAAACAAGGGTACGAAGGGGGCTTGCATCCATGTTTGCTGGAGCAGGAAAGGTGGCAGTGAACCAGTTAAGCTGTGATGAAGAAAGAAAGGCTGGAAATAGGACTCCCCAAATGCACTTTGTCGGAAGGGGCAGAAGAGAACAGAGTCAATCTTCACAACCGCTTGGTTGGCAACAATGAACGTGTTTAGATCTGCTTTTCTAAACCTGGTGTCCTCTGGATGATTTGTATGGGAGGGGAGCACTAAAAATGTACAACCGGCATCTGTGAGGAGCACCCTGCTGCTGGAGGAGATGCCACCTGCCTCTGGGGATGTCTACATTTTACCTGGGTTTGGGACAGGATCCAAGACCTGTTGCTCAAGCTGCTTTCTCAGATGGTCATTGGTTTTAATGGATTCTTCTAGCCGATGCCTCAGCAAGCGTATTTCCTGGAGATGCTCCATCAACAGCTCTGAAGAAATTCCAGAGATTGGATAGATCAGCTTAGGTTGGGGGGGGAGGGGGGAGCATGACAACTTAAGGGTGCTGCAGATCCTCTACGGCAGTGGTGGCCCTTCAAAAACAGTACCATCACCTCCAGGCCAGGTGGCACAACCCTGACGTCCCTTAAATGCTTCGTGCAGAGACCCAACTTCATCTTGGCCACCTAAAAAGTCTTCTGCTGAAGCAATTCCTTTCTTTGATGCCACCTCCTTTCAGAAGGACCTGCCTTATAAAGCACCAGCTAATGAGGGATGCCAGGAGGTGTGGAGGGGGGAGAAAACTGCCTGAAGCCTTGTTGGAGTGCAGCTATCTAGAAAAGCTGTAGCCACTTAGAGACTTTGGACTGAAGTAGCATATAAGACCAAGAAAGAAAGTAGACAAAGCTGGGTTAAAAGACAGCGCAAGATGACTGTAGAAAGGATGAAAGGCAGTTGAAGCTGATCAGTAATAGTTGCTTTTAAAATTCTTCTAGAGAGGGAGCTCAACATGCCAAAAAAAAAATCTATTTCCCAGCTTAGCTACTTACGTAACTCCCAAATTCTGGGGTACCCCCCCAAAATCATCTAAAATAAATCAATTCAACTGGTGGGCACAACTGTCTAAGAAAAACCTTTCAATCTTTTCTCCAGATTCTCATCGGTAACTAAAGCAAACCTGCACAGACCATAACAACCCATTCATCCCATGACACCCTTATCTTTGGCATCCTTTCTGCATCCCTGTCCCACCTCCTCCTTTCTTCTTCAGTCCAAGATCTAACCTTGAAATGCAGACTCATTCCCAGCCATCCCAGACTGCCACCCTCCCAAAGTATTGGTCTCTGATCCCTAGTATTCCCAGCCAGACTGGCTGGAAAATTCAGAAATCTAGTGTCCAAAGGGACTCTTCCTCTTTCAGTCACGTTACTTTGCAGTATGCTGTGCATTCAGTTGACCCTATGTAAAATAATAATTCCACCAGGAAATTGGTGGAATTATTGGATTCACGCGTCACCTAAAATGAAGCACCAAGGATGTCTCTTGTTCTGCCCGGTTGCGCTCAAGTACCTTTGAGGGTGCAGTGCGTGGAGCAACGGATCGTCCTCCACCTGCTATGCATTTCTGCATGGCTCGGGAATTGCTCAGCCCTACATTCACTTCATTCTGCAGCCTGGCCTGTTCTACCCACCCACCCCCAAAACTTCCAAACCTCTGTGGCTTTCGCTGAATGTTTCTCAGTGCTGCCCTGTTTTCACCTGAGCTTCCAGATTCCAACCTGAAGGCATCAATTGCACAGGGTGTGCATTTCTAGGTCAATCCTCCATCAATTATGCAGTGTAGGAAACCTTACACTGGTTTCTATAAAGCTGGAAACCATAGAATTTAATCATCACCAGCTAATGATTTGGTTCACAGTCTCTGGGCATTTTGTTAGAGCAGGCGTGTATTTAAAAGAAATCCACAATATCAGAATGGGAGATAAAACTACTGGGTGGAATATTTAGTGTATTTTTGAGCCTTCAAGAGTCAAAGCAAAGCTGAAACAGCTTTTGGAGACCATGTAAGAAGAAGCTGGATCAGGCCAAGGACTTGATTAATCTAACATTCTGCACCACTCAGATGCACCCAGGAAACTCTCAAATATACCCTAAGAGTGGTCAGCTCACCCAGTAGATGATATTAATAGCATTTTACCTGAGACTGGAGGAGATAATATACAGGCATCAGGACTAATTGCTATCGATATGCCCAATCCTCCATGAATTCATCCAGTCCCTTTTGAAACCTCCTTATTTCCCTGTTATCTGAAGGCCAAAAATTCCAAAAGTTTTACTACGAAGTCCAGGCTGCTGACAACGCGAAGCTGTCCCTTCTGCAGCACCGCTGAGCATTGGCCTGACAGATGGATGTCTACCTGGGGGAAACTTGGTTGGGGTGACAGTTGGTTTTCCTTTTCCGCTCTCTGTCTCTTCTTTTCTGTGAGCAGGCACTTCTAAAGAGGACAGCTGTTGGGGTATCTCGAAGTCAGACAAACTACAGGAAAAGAAAACGGGGAAGGTTTAAATATTTTACTGGACGTTCCACAGATTGCCAGGGAAAGTTGCTTTACGGTGAGACAACCTCAAGAGAAGGGGCTCCCTGAACAAGGAAAGGACTGAACCCTCCCCAAAAGGAAAGTAAATGGCACTATAGCAGTTACATAGGGGTAATTTTGTTGGCAGATTTCAATAAAACGTCCAAGGGAATGGTAATGTTACAACACAGGAGTCTGAGTGCTCGGCTTGATATGCGCTCACTGCGCCATTCTATCTCAACGTTTAAGAATAGGGTAGGGTCCTGATGGAAGGAAATGTGACTGAAAGCAATTCTAGCACCTACCTCTGTGCAAGGTTGCAAAGCTTTGTCATTTCGTCATCTATGGACTCTCCTAAAAAAGCAGGGAAGAAAAAATAATAATCATTAGCAAGAAAAATCGAGCAGTCTGCCAAGGAATTTACTAAGAGAATCCAACCCGGGGAGCACCACCACCAAGAACTGGGCTCCTGAAATTGCTTCTGTAAAATCACCTCCTTGCTTGAAACAAAAATAGGGTTAAGAGAGACGTTGGAGACAGATGGAAAAGCACAGGAAAGGCCAAAGTGCCCCCAGTAGCAGCCATTCACCAACCGGTGGACAAGGTTGTCTCATCCGACATTCAACTCCAGACCTGATTTTTATTTTTAACTTGTGATTCAGTGCAACCCTGTTGTGCTAAGATATATTGAATTGTCTCAGTTGTCAGCAACTTCATTAGTATATATGATACCATCTGCTGATTTGAACAGAAAGGCATTTTAATGTTGATTCGCTAGGGAGACTGATTTCCAATGCGAAAACAGAAACAATAACAAAAGAAGGATGGACAATCATTGAATATGCTGGTCTTTTGAGAGCCGGCTACACCACACAACCCATCATATTGTCTCTCAGATGAAAACTGCTCGGGATCCACAACAAAACTGACATTAGACCAGCTTGCTGAACTGGGAAATCTTTCTGTAGCCAGGGCTGGGAGTCTTTTCTTTAAACAGCTTTTTTGGGGAGCCAAGAGCTCCAGGGTCACAGCATCACCCCAAGCTCCAGGACCAGACCATTTAGGATCTGTCCTGCATTTTGAGAGATTTTACTAACCTCTTTGTTAGCTTCAGGCATTCCTTCCTCAATCTTCCTTTCTATAACAACATAACTGGTGGCCAAATTGCAACCATGCAATTTGGGGGGGGGGGGGGC